GTCCGGGTGAGGACCTTTTTCGGGTGGCGGGCGGGTCGGGCGTGGGGCTGAAATTTCAAAAAATATTTTCTGTGGGGGGTCGTCTTGAGGTGGAAATTAAAATTCTTGAGTCCGGCGGGTGGCAAAAACAAAAAATTGGACAGGTTGGGTCACGGGTGAGAAAAAAAAAAAATGCCCACCTCCGCCAAATAGTCAGTGCCTGTTTGCCTAGAGTACCTGTTGCAGCACTATTGGCGGGTGGGACTGTGTTTGGGATTTCCACCGCAGCTCTAGCAGCACTTCATTTCCACTGAAATTCAAACACATCTTCCTCTCACCTCACACACCTTCCCAGATCTCCTCGCTTGAAGATGGCAGAAAACAGCTTCCCCGCCTCCAACAGTCTCCCGGAACAAGATGGCCATTGCAGCAGATTCCACGATTTTGCGAAAAAGACCCCTGGTGTGAGTATGCCGTCAGCATTGTAGTAGAAGGTGCAAGGTTCTCCACGTTTGTGTGGTTGAGCGGGAAGTGCCCACACACCCGTCTGCCACCCACGCGGGCCGTGGCACACTTGCACAAATATATATAGTTTTCCAATCCATAAAAACAAAGGTAAAGGGCAGAAAACAACATACCTGACACAGATGGCTTCACCAGCAGAGGCAGCCGCGTATAGCCCGAGAAAACTCGGAGAGCCCTCTCTCCGAGTCAGCCCATAATCACACCAGCACTGACACTCCTATTCATCCCAAACAACACATTCACTCCACCACATTCACAGAATCTCCACGCGACATCAAGCACTACTAAGACACCATGGAAGCACAACCATCTTCCATGTGCTCCAAAAGAGCAGCCCGCGCGAGTGACACCCACAACAAAGATTCTCTCAGCCTCCTCGCAAAGATACCTTGACCATGACTCCAAACACATTCCCGCCCAAAAAATTGTGGCCACAAACACACCTTCATTCAAAGACAGCCCATGCTCTACAGCAGGGCAAAGAATTAGGCCATGCATGAATGAAAAACCACCAACAAATTATCCCAGTGTGTGTGTGCGTGTGTGTGTGTGTTCCCCTTGCCCTTGCATCGCAATCATTCTCAACGTCTCTATCCGTCAGAGGGCCTTGCCACACCACTCTGGAAATGTGCAAAAGACAAAAGTGTAGCGGGTGCATCTGGCCATGTTCTACCAGGAAGTTCATTTTCATTTTGCACATTTCGAGAGTGGTGTGGCGATGCCCAGAGTGTGATTGTGAACCCCCTCACTTCAGAAAAGCTGGTTTAAATTGTGCTTGCTTGGCGATTCTGGGTCAAAACCCGTCGTGATCTGACTGGAAAAGATGTTTCAAATTGGAAAATGTCTTTCTTCTCAGGAGCAGCTGGAGCTGCAGCTGCCGCAGCGGCCATCTCGCAAACGTGAATATTGTGGCTACAAGATACGGCAATTTTTAGCTATCGACGATCCTCACCCTATCAGACGCAGAGTTAGGTGTTGCGATCGTTCCTGTTTCGGTCTGCTAGCTGTGTGGTACATTTTCGTCGTGCTTTACTTGGTTTTCATCTGGAGGAAGAAGTGATGTGCATTCTCGCGGCGACACCGTCATTGTCGGAGGGGTGATCTACAACGTCGAGAAGGATTCTCACAGTGTGAATATCATTGTCCCATTTACATGTACGGTACCACTTTTTTTTCTTCTTCAGTCCATCTACTGCATCTCCGTTTGCGGTAAAATGTTACAGAGATGATTAGCATGGTCCTCCATTCAAGACTACGAGAGATGATCAGTATAGTACCTGCCCATACAAGCACGACACATGCAGAAGAAAAATCGGAGGAATGGACATCTCCACTGCCATGCATGGACTTGCATACAAGCACGCATACGGTGGGTCGTCGCTTAGTACCCCAATTACTCGTTTGTGGCCGTCGATCTTGCTTCGATTATCGAGGGTCATCGAGGATCAGACAAGGTGAATCCAGTTGCCTGGGGCCATGTACTGGTGGTTTGAGCTTGCATGCATGGACAGTACTAAGTTGGATCTTGAGCTTCTGCCCGCGAGTGCTTCAGTGAGCTTGTCTTTGGACTCTTTGACGTCGAGAGCTTTGACGGAGAATTAAGGCAGTGAAGGATCTCTGCTTGCACGCGAAGAGGGCTTCCAAAGAAAGGATTTTTAAATCTTTTTTTTCGGAAATATTGTGGGCTTTGTAGGCTTAAGTAATCAAGGAAGAACAGGGGGGCAGGAATCCTCACAAACAACAGAGACAACCTTTCCAATTCCAAAATCTGAAGAGACAGTCGGCTGTAAATCATGGGGCCAATACCGATATTAATAATGGGGCAAATACCGATATTAATGATGGGGCCAATACCGATATTAATCATGATGATGGAAGACAGGCTCGCGGAGACAATCGATTTGGCTTTCCCTGTTATCTCTGCTTGATAGATGCCCGTTATCGTTGGTTGTTTTTTTCTTCTCCCTTTTTCTTTTTTAATCAAGGTGTAATGCCCCTGCTATCGCAGATTGCTCTTTGTTATTTATTTACATTTGTTTATTTATTCTAAAATTCTAAATCATATAGGTCGCCGTAGTGTGGCCAATACGGCAAGGATACTTTAGCTGCAAGGTGGGGTAAGAGGGTGAGGGGTAAAGGCTGTGAGTGTGGAGATAATTAAAAGGACAACGATGGCATGCTGGCAGCGATGACGTAGCCCTAGTCCAATCATCAGCCAGCAGAGGCGGACAGGTCCGCCAGTACCGTCCAATGACGGCAAGCTCAGGTGCTCAGGGTGAAGGGTGTGCAGGGAGAATGCAGTTATTAAACGTTTCAGCTGTCTTTTTTTTTTTTTTTTTTTTTTTATTAGGATGATTAAGAAGTACTAATCAGTATACGACTGCTCCTGGCATGTGGGGTTCCGTATCAGCGGCTGTCAGCGCCCAGCTGCCTGCCAGGACTGATTTTTACAGGTTGGCCACGTGTCGTTCGCTGGCTTCAACGATTTCAAATTGTCGTTCAGTAGAAGGAAGCAAGATATAGAACTCGTCATTTCTCAAATACGTCGAGCGGGGGAACAAAGCCCATCCTCATCCTCATCCTCATCCTCATCATCATCGTCACCATCACCGTCACCATTACCATCAGCATCATAAGCATTAAGATCATAATCATCAGCAGCAGCAGCATTAAGATCATCACCATCATCATCATCATTAGCACGATGATCATGGTCAGCGTTTGACATAGATTGCAACTTGAGGGAGAAGAAGAGGAGGACGACGACAATGATTTCATCGTATGTTGGGGGCTGGTAAATTAAACCGCTAGCATGTTGTAAAATAATAATAACTCGCGGAAGGTTGTAGTTGTAGTGCCGGAGTGGTGTGCATATCCTGAAGTTGTTTTTTTTTTTTTTTTTTTTTTAATTTGGGTGTTTAATACTAAATTCATAGTAATTCCTTATGTCTCTGTAGAGGCTGTTAGACTGGATGAGGGAAAGAGGGTCGAAAAAGGGGCATGAGGAGGAACGAACAAGAAGCGGGGGTGGAGGGGCTTGGCGTATGACTTTTGCCCCTCGGACTGGATATGACACTGTGGAGTAGTTGGGTCCTAATTAAAAATAAAAAGAATCACAGTTGGGTCACTTTGGGTGCTATCTGTCAGCGAGGGTATTGAGGAATGTTTTTTTTTTTTTTTTTTTTTTTTTTTTTGCAAGTAAGGCTTAGTAAGCTCAATTTGTTATTGGCCCATAATGGGACACTATTACACAGCTAGAATGCTTTGGGATATGATGGCAGGGGGTGAAATTCGACTTCTTTTTTTCTTTTTCTTTTTTTTCTTTCTATATTCTTCTCTCAACTTCTGTTTTTGCCTTTCACTACCTACTCCTAAGGCTATCTAGAGGGGATTATTTACTTAGTAAGTTATTATTATCAATTTTAATTTCGATATTATTAAGAAGATATAGTCTGGAGCTGCATCCTCTACGAACGTGGGCCTCGCCACACCACTGTCGAAACGAAAAACGTTCAAATGCATGTTCCCCCAGAAAGTAGCAAGATGCATCCGTTCCTATGACTAGCAACAGATGCATCTGGCCACTTTTTGGGGAAGATGGACTAGTGCTTTTTTCGTTTTGTTTGACAGTGGTGTGGCGAGGCCCTAAGTCTCATTGACGGGGGTTCGAACTTGGTTTGGAGTGCTCACCAGTTCCTGCCATCCAATGGGAACCTCTCTGTCGGCCGCGCAGTGGCCACACGTTGAGAAATGTGGGGCACGCCACACCATTGTCGAAAGGCTGAAAAATTCGACGGCTGTCAGAATAAATTCAATAGTTTCACAAAAAATAAAATAAAATGAAATGAAATAATAATATGACAGCCTCCCTTCGACAGTCTGCCCCCCTTCAGCCACACAGCACTGTAGAATGGATGCACTTGTGAATGCAAAATTTAAAGACGAACGCGCCTGAGGGTAGAGGCGCCTTTGACAAGCATTATAGTCCATCCCGACCTCACGCCCACTTGTGAATGCAAGATGGAAATTTAAGGACAAATGCGCCGGAGTAACAGCTGGTCCCTTGTGACCAGCAGCAGGGTGCACCTCCTTGTGTGTTGTACCTTCCAACTGCCGAGCCAATTGAAGAAAGATAGGAGGGATGCGAGAAAGTACCGTCTTTGTGCAGACACACCACAATCTCTTTATGACTGCATCAGAGACCGGGAAAAAATCTTCAATACATTAATAGTCAGGGTGTGTTGTGTTTGGGGGGCAACAAGATCGGCAACACACACACACACACACACACACACACACACAGAGAGAGAGAGCTGTCTCTTATACACATCTAGATGTGTATAAGAGACAGGAGAGAGAGAGAGAGAGAGAGAGAGAGAGAGAGAGAGAGAGAGAGAGAGAGAGAGAGAGAGAGACATCCACTTTCTCTACTGTACCAACAACCAGCATGTCGATGGGACTCAAGTTGGGAAATTCATGAATTCTTAGTCACAGTCGCCATGAAGCACAATGGGCCTCTCGCAAACTTGCTAAAGCAGTGACCATCTCAGAGTTATAGCTTGCTAAAGTAGAGACTGTCTTAAAGTTATAGCGCAGGATTCCACGACCGATGCTGATGTATCTTCCCTCCTGTCTCAACTGTTACACCCCCTTAAATTATATATGCATATCGAGTTTTTTTAACTTTTTTTTGCATCTTTTTGCTTGCATCGCCACAGTGGCCAGGAAATACAACCGCATCTCTGAGCCTTGCTTGCTCACGCACTCTCTCCGGGCTAGTGTACGAATCCGCGATGAAAAACCATGTTCCGCCGTCGCAGTGCCGCTGAATGCTTTCAAAGTTGAAGCGTGAAACATCCTAGCCATGAACGTTCCTCATCTCACACCATCAACCCTCAACCTTAAATCCGAAACCGAGAACCCGAAACCCAAAACCCTAAACCCAAAACCCTAAGCCCTAAACCTTAAAACCCTAACTAAACCCTCAGCCTGGAATCCTTCTTGGTTTCAATCTCACAGAGAGGTTTGGGCTGTATTCGTCATTCAACGCGTAACACACGGAACCCTGAGCCTCATGCGATTTGCTAGCTCACTTTCCCCACTCTGACAGTCTGGGAACAATCTAGCAACTAAACAAGAGTGATGCAGAGGGGCAAAAAAAAAAAAAAAAGAAAAAAAAGACAATGATGCACAGGGCAAAGAATGGTCTGATCAGTTGGAGGCTTCGAGCTGAAATTTTACAGAGAACAAAACGAAAAAGCCAAACCCATGCGAGTTCGTTTCCTTTCTTTTTCTTTTAACCTGTGGGAGTCTGTATCCCTCAAAAAAAAAAAAAAAAAAAAAAAAAAAAAAAAAAAAGAAAGGAAAGGAAACTAACGCACATCTGAAAGGGAACAGGAACATCCACTCGTCAAAAAACCTGAAAATTTAAAGTTGCATGAATAGTGAAATACTGCTTCGGGTCTCTCTCTCTCTCTCTCTCTCTCTCTGTGTGTGTGTGTGTGTGTGTGTGTGTGAGAGAGAGAGAGAGAGAGAGAGAGAGAGAGAGAGAGAGAAATACAGACAGAAATCTATCAAAACAATCCACAGAGGGCATATTCACACCAGGACTTGTGGTACTGGTATCTGGACGTCGTTGCAGTCAGATACATCACGTAGTGGCCATAATTGCGCTCAGATTCATCTAGACAAGTCCTACTGTGATTATACTCTCACATGGGATCAAATCATCAAACAGGTCAAATGAGTTTCAAAATCGAACTAACGAAAAACAGACATGTGTACGCACATATTCTACGACTCATCAAAGCAAACCTGAAAAAAATTGAAGTTGCAGGAAGTTCAACACCCCTTGGGAAATCATCAGGAAAATAACCAAATGCCCCTTTTCAGAATGAACCTGGATGCTGCCCAAGTCTGGGTTCACGATTTGCACAAGAACAGTGCAGAGACATCCTGGTACATTATGACTGCGGCTGACAGGGAGCTTAAAATTTCCGCCAGCGTATTTTTGAAAGCTGTCTTCGCTCTCAAAGGGCGAAGTTTTTGAAAATGGCCCACAGCTTAACACGTTTTTGAACGGTTTTCTGAATAATTTCCGATCAATTAAACCACTAGTACCTCCGCCAGTGTTGGGAAATTACGATGTTTTCGTTTTAAAAAAAAAATTACGATGTTTTGCCAGTTCCCGAAGAAATCGGGGGTGGGACACACGGTCGGCAATGTCCCATAAATGATAAATCTGAATTTTATAGTGCAGCGAGTGAAAGGAAAAAGGGAAAAAAAAAATGCTCTCTCTACTGCAATGATGTCGGGCAGGGTAGTCCAAGAGGCCGTGCTCACAATCTTCCTCCACAGAATGCACCTTACAGGTTAGGCGGTCGGATTCTGAATGTTACTGTTTTCTTTTTTTTCTTGGTTGTGTGTTTCTGATGAGTCCCCTGTCCGTGAATTGCTCAAGCTGTCCGTGATCTGCTCAAGCTGTGTTTTGTCAGAGGATTGTAAGGCTCATCACACTGGCACTTAGGGGAATGTATCGAGCCATATTCACGGCCGGATCCATGTGCCCGTTTTTTTCCCCTTCTATTCTCTTTTTGGAATCTGACAACCTGGCCACGGGGCTGAGATGGCCTTATACTGAGGGCGCAGTCACACTACCACTTCCAAGAGTGTATACAACTGCAATCACGGCCAAAGCTTTGTTTCCTTTTTTCTTCTTCTTGTGTTCTGAGGTTCACGGCAGCAACTTTTCTTCTTCTTCTTCTTCTTCTTCTTTTGTTCTTTCCGTGAGAGTACCAGAGAGAGAACGGAGTGGTACCCAGGCTCGGCAAACTCGGAGCGCAGTGAAATTCAGGGTCGGCAAAAACAGGCTCGGAGAGTTCCTGTGCCGACAACAACTCGAATTTCAAAAATTGGATATCATTGATGGATACTGTGGAGCCAAGACCATAGGGTTTCGTTGCACACCAGACAGTGAAAAAAAAAAAAAAAAAAAACCTCAGTGGGGATCCGGGCCGCCCGGGTGACCAGCAGGGGCCCGGGAGAGGCCTCGGGCGGCCTGGCCAGGCAGGGCACCCGGTTGGGGGCTGGCCCCCCCCAGCGCACTCACCTGTCAGGGGATTTCAGACCCCCTTTCGGACCCCTTTCGGACCCCTTTTGTGTGTGTGTGTGTGTGCGTGTGTGTATGAGAGAGAGAGAGAGAGAGAGAGAGAGAGAGAGAGAGAGAGAGAGAGAGAGAGAGAGAGAGAGAGAGAGAGAGAGAGAGAGAGAG